TTTTATTGACCTAGAAGGACTGCTCAGAGACAGGGTCTTCTGCTTTTTAATAGGCTCAGTCAGAGTTTTATCCTGGAGTCCTATCGTTGCAGCTCTGCTTTTTCAGAGTTTTTCCAGTGTAACTGAAACAGGAATAAGGCTCAGAAATAGCATAATTTCAAGATATTAAAACAAAGTACAAGAACCAATTTTGCAAGTGTTATTTACACTGACACAGCACATACTCAGCAGGGGAACTCTATTGCTCTCATTGTGACTACATATTAAAGAAAATGATACCCAGCGTGAGCAGGGGGGTTGCAGAAATCGGCTCTCAGCAATTTTTAGCTCTGCTTATCATTGGCCTACCCCCCCTGCTTTTTCTCTTGCAAAACATAGTTATTTGGGATAATTTATTTACAGGAATTGTTTATTGAGATGTATTTTCTTATAGAGATATTTCTTACACAAAGCTTTGTAGCAGAATATATTTGCAGCCTGTTGACTTTAATGTAGAAAAATGTATAATAAGATTAAATATATTAAAAGTCCTTTCCCGTTCCTCCCCAAATATTTTACCCATATTCTTTTCCTTACCTGCTGCTTAAGAAGAGTAGTTCTTTCTGGAAAGATATGCAAATCTATTGAAAAAAATACATATATTTTAGCTGTACAAGAAAAAGCATCTGATTGTACTTGTGTCTCAAAGCACTATGTAGGCTGAGTTTTAGTAAAACACATGAAGGTAATCTTAAAATCCACATGTGTCATTTCTACAAAACTGGTTTAAGTGGCAACTATCTATATGCTTCTCTTGGCACAGTTTACACCTAAACATTCAAGAATGAGTTTTGAAAATTACACACCTGGATGCATAATGTTCAATCAACCAGGTTAAAAAGGAAAGGTGCCTAGAAACACTCCCTGGATAGTGATACATACCAGAGAGACTCATGGTGGGTAAAGCTGGTGTTCAAATTACATGGCATTTTGCTATAGGTTACAGCATAAAATGCATTGCTGCAGGATCTATAACTAGCAATTCTGAAATGGCAGGTAATAGCATTCAGCTCTAATAACATGCAATGATCCACGTGATGCAACTCAAAATATTGCTACTAAAACTAACCAAGTTCTGATCCCAGGAAAACCCCTGCAGAGCTCAACAAATATTGCAAAATAATGGCTGTGGTTATTGAGCAATGGTCTCAATATCCTTGTTTCTGGTAACCCTTTGCTCAAACAGATGTACATTTGGAGGACTGAATGGTCTCCAAGTCACACTAGTGTTTGTACAAAATGAAAAGGTTTCACTACCATTATTTACAATATTTGGTGAGTAGGACTTTGAAAAGTCTAACACTTTTAACACCACCATAATAAAATTGTGAGCGTCTTCAGAGCCCAATGACTGCAACAGAGCTTGAGACTGCCAAAGCCTTCAGAGATTTAATCTGGGAACAAAAACAATAGGCACAGGCAGTTTGTTGCACACCGCAAATACTGAGCAACATAGCTGAACCGAACAGCATGCAAGCAGTTTCACAAGACTGAAGTTTGATTGTTTAGAAGCCATTCAGTTAATATTTTGGGGAAATATACATCAGTCTGAGAATAAAAGAACAGCTAAATTTGGGAATAATTGCTCTCACTCACTGTGTCAGTCATCAAGGGAATTCAAGAGTGACTTTGGCTCAGTAACATTTCAGAAATCTGCTGTCATGACAAGTACTGAAGAGATTATTACTGAACAATTCAAATACTCTTCCTATTAGCCTAGAATAGCCTCAGCAATGCAACATGTCTTTGGAAATACTTATTAACTTTCCTAAAATAATGGATTTCTACTCTATAACAGCGTATAGTTGATTTACAGTGTAACTGTGGGTGTGTATCTATTACTGTACTAGTTGCTTTGGCTTATGTTGTTTGCAACCTATAGTATTTACAATTTTAAACATTTTTTTTAATGAAACCCATTAAAGTAAAGTAGATTTATGTACTTACTTGCATAACAACATTTTCAACAGCATACATCCAGCAGCTGATACCTAAACCACAATGCACTGGAATTCAAGCCATCTTCTGCATATTCTGACTTTCTTGCTCATTGTTGCAACAACAGCAAAAA